GTGGAGCCGAGAAGCGCCATATCAATGACGCGACGGATCTCCCCATGCTCAGGAAGATTGAATCCGCTTCGAGCATCTCGCAGGTACTCTACAAAAGTAGAGTTTATGTTCACCTTTGGTGCGAGATCTCTCAGCGGAAACGGAGGCAGCTCTGCCTCAGGAGCATGGGGAGCCGCGGTCGTATTACGACCGGAGAGGTTACCAGACCCGGAATGGTGAGCTGCGTTCTCACGCAGCGATACGGGTACTTTAGAACGCGCAGGTTCCATGCCAAGTTGGTCGCTAGGACTGGCGACCACAGTTCTGGGTTGAACGATTTTCGATTGAATTGGAGAGTCGCTCTCTCTCCTCTTCCTCTTGCCATCTCGGGCATTTTTTGGCGCACCGTTGGAACCGGTGGCCTTAGAGCTAGTACTAATAGAGCTCGTATTCCTGCCTACATCCGTCCCTACTCCAGCCGTCTTCCTCTTGGCGGGGTTGAGGTCGTGCGGTGAGCAACTCTCCCTCATCCGCTTCTGCCTTGCTGATACCTTCTGAAGCAGAGGAGACTCCATGTCCTGCGAAAGAGGCTCGTTTTCGCAGGAGGCTGGTTGTTTAAGTTTGTCCTTTCCCTCGGGCACGGGCGTCTGGCACACCACGGAGGATCCGCTAGTAGATGCGGCGGGGGAAGAAGATTTTGCTGGTAAAATCCGAGTACCAGAGGCCCGGAATTGCTTCCGGGCGAGCTCGAGATATCTCTGATACTCGGGCTTCCTCCTCCTGAACCGCACCTGGTCAACGGTGAGATCTGTGGCTTCAGCCATGCACTTATTAACTCGCCCGGCTGGTTCACGGGCTTCGATCCTCGCCATGATCTGCAAGATCTCTGGTTCTGGCAGAGGACCGCGCATCTTCTCGATCTCACCGGCGTATTCCACCGGGTGTGCCCTCCGCTCGTGCTGTCGGGTGGACTTGTAACTGCCAAATCTCATTGGACAGTGCTTACATTGGAGCCTGTCTTCGCATGCTCTTGCCATCTTGTGCGTTCTTAGCTGCACTGCCGACGTAAAAGCTGTGTCACACGTCGTGCAATAGTTTGGGGAGGACTTGGCGCCAGTATTGCAATTCTTGGCGCCGCTGACGGGCTTAGCCTTTGATATGTCTGTCCTCCCCTTGTCCTCACTCCCGCGTTTGCTCGATGCGGGTTGGGCCAGGTGTAAATCTGGCCCGTTGTTAGTAAGACCGGCGCCGAGAACCGGCGCCTTGGTCGATCTCGCGCCACCGTTCTTGTGGGGCGCGGTACGTGCGTTCGATCCGGGAATTAGCCACCGTGACATAATGACACGGGCCCGACTCTCGGTTGGATTTGGAGGAAATCCGGAACCTTCCCGGGTGAGACTTAAGCTCCACAAATACACAAACCGATGTCACCAAGAAACGCTAACAATCTTGAAAAAGACGTTAGCGCAGCCTACAACACAGCTGGTACTTGTAAAAAATGGTCTGCGTAAATGCTTCCTTGCTCAAGACTCGAGAGTCATAGTTACTCCCGCCGTTTACCCGCGCTTGCTTGAATTTCTTCACGTTGACATTCAGAGCACTGGGCAGAAATCACATTGAGTCAACACCCGCAGGGGCCATCTCAATGCTTTGTTTTAATTAGACAGTCGGATTCCCCCGGTCCGTGCCAGTTCTGAGCTGACCGTTGAATGGCGGCCGAAGAGGACACCAGAACGCCCTTGCGAGCGCACTCTGGGCCTCGCAGCAAGACGGTTCCGCGGGAGGCCAAGGCACGGTACCGAGTTCGGATCCGCAATCCTACCGCACACGCGCGAACGCATACGACAGAACGTTTCACCTCGCCCAGGCCCGGCACGTCAGCCGCGACCCGCTTCCTCGCCAAGCCCGACACGCCCCGATCCTCAGAGCCAATCCTTATCCCGAAGTTACGGATCCAATTTGCCGACTTCCCTTACCTACATTATTCTATCGACTAGAGGCTCTTCACCTTGGAGACCTGCTGCGGATATGGGTACGAACCGGCGCGACACCTCCACGTGGCCCTCTCCCGAATTTTCAAGGTCCGAGGGGAAGACCAGGACACCGCTGCAACTGCGGTGCTCTTCGCATTCCAAACCATATCTCCCTGCTAGAGGATTCCATGGAACTCGAATGCTTATGCAGAAAAGAAAACTCTTCCCTGGTCTCCCGACGGCGTCTTCGGGTCTTTTTGGGTTACCCCGACGAACTCTCTTGCGAGGGCCCGACTATTGTACGGTTCCGCTGCCGGGTTTCGGAATAGGAACCGAATTCCCTTTCGCCCGACGGGCGTGTTCTTTATATATACACACATACATACATATATTTATAAAACAACGCCACATCAACATCGGCTTTCGCCTAGGGCTTAGGATCGACTGACTCGTGTGCAACGGCTGTTCACACGAAACCCTTCTCCACGTCAGTCCTCCAGGGCCTCGCTGGAGTATTTGCTACTACCACCAAGATCTGCACCGACGGCGGCTCCAGACGGCCTCACGGCCAGCCCTTCTGCGCGCACCGCCGCGACCCTCCTACTCGTCAGAGCTTCATGGCCGATCCGTTTTTACGCGGATCGAGACCGCACATGCCGCTGACGGCCGAGTATAAGCACGACGCTTCAGCGCCATCCATTTTCAGGGCTAGTAACTTCGGCAGGTGAGTTGTTACACACTCCTTGGCGGATTCCGACTTCCATGGCCACCGTCCTGCTGTCTTAAGTTACCAACGCCTTTCATGGTATCCCATAAGCGTCGATTTAGGCGCTTTAACTCGACGTTTGGTTCATCCCACAGCGCCAGTTCTGCTTACCAAAAATGGCCCACTTGGCACTCTGATTCGATTCTCGCAGCTTCATTAGTTCGAGCAAGCCGGAGATCTCACCCATTTAAAGTTTGAGAATAGGTTGAGGTCGTTTCGACCCCAATGCCTCTAATCATTCGCTTTACCGGATGAAACTCGTCACAGACGAGCGCCAGCTATCCTGAGGGAAACTTCGGAGGGAACCAGCTACTAGATGGTTCGATTAGTCTTTCGCCCCTATACCCAGTTCCGACGATCGATTTGCACGTCAGAATCGCTACGGACCTCCATCAGGGTTTCCCCTGACTTCGTCCTGACCAGGCATAGTTCACCATCTTTCGGGTCCCAGCGTGTACGCTCTTGGTGCGCCTCTTCTCGTAATGAGAACGAGACGCCCCGGGAGTGCGGAGCGGCCGCTTTATAGACGTGCCGCCCATCTTCCCTAAATCCGCGCTAGGCGGATCTTTACTTTCATTGCGCCTTTAGGTTTAGTTATGTCCCAATGACTCGCGCACATGCTAGACTCCTTGGTCCGTGTTTCAAGACGGGTCCTGAAATTACCCAAAGCTATAGCGTCGCAGATCGGCGTTTCAAACGAGGTCTGTCCGAGAAATCCGCACGACCAACAGTCGTCCGGGGACGGAACCGGGCGCTAGGTCCGATCGCCGTCTTAGCATCGAACGTGCTTGTCGTGGGTCGGACGCTAATTGAAGAAGTAGCGGCCTCGCGCCATCTGTATACCGTCGAGCGAGTCGGCCGGAACATCGCGGGTTCGAGCACGAATCGCCGAAACGATCGTACACGGACTCCACCGCGAGCCGTAGACCGACACCCAACGGATCGCGACGTCCTACTAGGGGAAAAGTGCACGCGTTCGACGCCGGATCGAAAAGCGAAAGGCGCGGACGACGCGCGAACGCCGTCCGTCGCGCGACCGCTCATCGCCGACGGCCGAAACGCGAATGAATTTCCCCTTTCGACCTTTCGGGTTTCTCAGGTTTACCCCTGAACGGTTTCACGTACTCTTGAACTCTCTCTTCAAAGTGCTTTTCAACTTTCCCTCACGGTACTTGTTCGCTATCGGTCTCGTGGTCATATTTAGCCTTAGATGGAGTTTACCACCCACTTAGGGCTGCACTCTCAAGCAACCCGACTCTGAGGAGAGATCCTCCCGCGATCGGCAGCGGCCACTACGGGCCTGGCACCCTCTATGGGCTGTGGCCCCGTTCAAGAAGGACTTGGACTCGCCGCGCGACCTCGGGATAAACGGATCCTCCCTAACACCACATTTCCCGGCGCCCGATATCGACCGCGGGATTCGGTGCTGGGCTTTTCCCTGTTCGCTCGCAGCTACTGAGGGAATCCTAGTTAGTTTCTTTTCCTCCGCTTAGTAATATGCTTAAATTCAGCGGGTAGTCTCACCTGCTCTGAGGTCGGTTAACAATATACAACACAACACCACACACAGATATATATGTCACACGCGATCGCTAATACTAAATCGTATAGCTGCTGCTGCTATACTACTACTAGTCGAAAGCGTTCTCTAGTGTTTAGCGCGTATATGCGATCAGACGTCGTTATCTCGAAAAAAATAATTTCTCTCTCGGACACGACGATCGCAGCGCAAGTTCGAAACGCGTAACGACTACAGCATATATACATATATATATATATATATATATATATATATGTAGTGCTATTACGATTTTTATCCGTACAGCGCGCGTGTTCGTTCTATGTGTGAGTTTACGATTCGTTCGTATGACGAACGAATCGTCGCTTTCGCGTTTTGAGATGCCGCGACGACGACAAAGACGACGACGTTTACGATATTACATAAATAAATATATAATAACTAGCGTCGTCGCGTCGTACCGCCGCGTCTACATCCAACACGCTCCGACGTTTCATTCTCCTCTCTCATGTCGTCGTCGTCGTCGTCGTCTCTCGGATAAAGAGATAATACGACGACGCGAACAGAGATCGGAGAGGAAACCGAGCAGTCTTTTAAATTGATACGACCCTCAGCCAGGAGTGGTCCGGGAACAGTATCCGAGGACCGCAATGTGCGTTCGAAATGTCGATGTTCATGTGTCCTGCAGTTCACAAGTTGACGCGCAATTAGCTGCGTTCTTCATCGACCCACGAGCCAAGTGATTCACCGTTCAGGGTAATCGTTTTTTAATTAGACGATCTCTATATATATAAAATATATATCGATACGTCTTTATTGTTATGATAATGGCTAATGTTATTAAAGAAAATATATAAAAAAAAGAAAGCGCGCATTTCTCACGGAGACTTCGTGTATTTTGCGCGGCAAACGCGCAAAATTATTTTTGCGCGTTTATAACAAACGAGCGTGCCGACGAAGTCTCTCGTGTACGCGCGCATTCTATCCGTATCGCGCTTCTATAGCATACGCGTGTGCAAGGGGTACAAATAACACTACAACAGAGTTGTACATAACATGAATATATATGTATGTATTAAGCGTACAACACGTGTCGTCCTCTTGTACCGTCTTTTCGTATGGCGTAGAAATTTCGACTAACGGGCGAATATCTTTAAAAACAACCGGAAAAGAAGGAAATGAGTCGTGCGGACACGACGACATATCTCCGTTCTTCTCCCATATAGAGTTACCCGTCGAAAATATCGCCATCCGTACAGACGACGACGTCGTAGAGACACGTGTGTACATACGCATACGCATACAACACAATATTATGTCTATGCGATATACGCGTGTCGGAACGTACCCCGAGCGCGCGCTCGCGCGTACTAGAAGCGCTCTATACGGCGTGGTGCGTTCGAAAATTATACGTATTATATGATGGTGGGACGACGAAAAGATTTTCAATAAGATTTATAAAAAAGATACGCACTCGCGTACACGACGAGACGAGGGAAGAGGTTGTGTGTTACACACAAACAACAACACCTCGTTCGGGTAATATACACGTGTGTGCGCTCGATCTTACTATAAATGTTCCTTATTATCTTTTCGAACGTCGCTACATCATCGCCTATAATAAAAAGGCAAATTCGTTCAATGAATAGTAAAGTGTATAAGAGTAAAGTATCGTGTTGAAATATATTACTCATTATACGAAAGACTTTTTTTTGTCAAAGACAAAAATTAAAGCACTGTAATGATCCTTCCGCAGGTTCACCTACGGAAACCTTGTTACGACTTTTACTTCCTCTAAATGATCAAGTTTGGTCATCTTTCCGGCAACATCGACGACGCCGAAACGCCCACCGCGTACCAGTCCGAAGACCTCACTAAATCATTCAATCGGTAGTAGCGACGGGCGGTGTGTACAAAGGGCAGGGACGTAATCAACGCGAGCTTATGACTCGCGCTTACTGGGAATTCCTCGTTCATGGGGAATAATTGCAAGCCCCAATCCCTAGCACGAAGGAGGTTCAGCGGGTTACCCGGGCCACTCGGCCAGGGAGGACACGCTGATTCCTTCAGTGTAGCGCG